TCACGTGGTACATCTAATCATATTGGCCTTGGCAAAGGACTCAGGGTCAAGCATCTGACCCAATGAGAACCAAGTTTACAACTTTGATTCAAACTGTGGCAAAGGAGAAGTGGACATGGAGCTATGAGTCTACAGTGTATATTTTTCTGGTAGAGCCTATTGAATAAATCTGAGCAAGAGTTAAAGCCCAGAAGCCAACATGAAGGTCTGTGCCTTGGGTTCAGTTGGTATCTGAATTTATCCTGAGTTCTTCAGACACCTGGATCAGAAATGTCTTTTCTTAAGCCATTTCTCATTGGATTTCCATCCTTTAAAGCCCAGAATGCCTTTCTTAAGAACTAAAGAACAAGACTGAATGCATCTGTGCTATCAACACATCTCTAAGAACCATGCTGTAACGTCCTAGTTCTGTGAAGACCAAGCCACGGGCTTCTAGCCCAGAGTGTAGCATCAGGCCAGGAGATGGCATGGTAGAGATCTACTGGACTTGGCAATTCTGTCTGAGGTCCCAGAAACTGACCCCACAGACCTGAGTATAAATGCATCCAGAGGTGGGACATTGCAGGACAATCATAAAGTGTGACACAGGTTTCAAAAAAATAAAAAGATGGATACAGAAATCAGTCTTATTTTAAGAGCAAAAGCAAGATGAATTCAAGAGTGTCAAATGTAACCTGTGATGCAGTGGAAACAGCAACAGCAAATAGTCAACAGCTGAGAATCTAGGCCATAGGTTCTCAACCTTCCTAGTCTGATCCTTCAATACAGTTCCTCATGTTGTGGTGACCCCAACCATAAAATTATTTCTACTATAGAAATTCTATAAAAGTTGCTACTTTATAACTAATTTTGCTACTGTTATGAATTGTAATATAAATATCTGATATGCAGGATATCTGATATTTGACCCCCCCCCAAAAGGGTCAAGACCCACAAGTTTGTTGAGAACCACTAGTCTAGGCTGAGGGGTTACTGAAATTTTATAAATGAGACAAGGGCATCATGAAGATGCAGACTTGATTACATTGGTCTCAGGAGTATTACAGACATCTTTCTGTGATGCTTTGTGTTGTATCCTTGACTTCTAAAAAAAACATCATTCTATCACAATCTAATTTGAACTCTTCTTTTATCCACATGGTATTTTTATGAAACAGTGACTATCACAGTCAACTATATTTTGGAAAAATATCAAAAAGCCTTGAGTTGTGCAAAAGAAGTTTTAGAAAGGATTTCAACACTGGGTCTAAATTAGCCTAGGCACAAACTAGTCATTATTTTCACAATCATGTCCAGCAGCATGCTCACTCTGTTGAGTGAATTTCTTTAGACTATATAAAGCTTCACAGCAGGATCATAACTACCAAGGTATTTAAGAGTAGAGGTGAGTAAGAAGCGAGCTGTCATTTCTTCTGGCAAAAATGTACCCATATTCATATTCCCTGTCCTTCATAAGCACAAGCTTCTGCCTTCTTTGAAGGACAGTTGGCCCCAGGTTACTACATAGATGTCCCCTGCATCACTCAGTTGGCTCTGCCATTGTCAAGCATGATGGATGCCTGTCAATCACTCATACACACTGAAGAGGAAGCTGGGAAATGCATTTTGGCTCCTGCTTTGATATATTACCTTTCAGTGTTACCCCAGATCCTCCAAGTCTTAGTTGACTCTGGATTCCCAGGACATGTGTTTTATTTCAATTTTACCTAAGTACTGGCTCATTTAACCTTTCCTGGGCACAGCTAAACAATGCCACTGTCCCCCCGTGCTGGTATATCCCTGTTGTCTCTGAGTATGAGATAGCATGAGACCTCCGGTACAAGTCAGAAGTGAGGACTAGTTAACACCTGAGGTTTAAGTTTTTGACCAATGAGAGATGAGAGTCACTATATAAAGTCTTTTGTCTCACATCCTCTGTATAAACTATCCTGAAATGCAACTCATTTAAGTGCTTTAAAATGATCCTGAGATACAGGTTGTCTCCTGTTAATTGATTGATACCACAAGGTGGTCATCTTGGAAGGGACTCTTACATCAGCTCTCTATCCTTTCTTGTCTCTCTCCTGTCTATTAATGTTTCACTGGGATTGCATTCCTTAAAGTGGCAGGCCATAAATTTTGCCCAACACCCTGCTTCTTGGAAAACTCCAGCGTAGACAATTGATAGTGTATATGGCCCTGGAATGTGGACCCTCAAGATGGACTTGATCACTGGTTTGATAACAATAGATTTCTCATTACATGTGGTAGGTGGAGAGTGCTAACCCTTGAACAGACCCATCCTTAGTTCTAAGATCTTCATGGTGGTTAACTAGGATGTAGCAAGAGTTAAAAGATGAAACATTGGGTTATATGGTAACTATGCTTGAAGTTTGGGTAGGGGATGAAAATTATGTGGAATGAGGAATAGGCAGGCCCCTGCTAGCAGTACTGGAAGCTTTGCAAATGCAAAATTATAATCTTAGAGTAGCCAACTCTCAATTCAAGACATAAGTCCCAAAGGCTTCTCTAGTGGAGTTAGAGGAACTTCTAATCCTTGGTGCTCCAAGGACCACTCTGTGGAAAATGAGATTTCGTAACCAGAGGTCACATCCTTGGAACAAAAATTACCCTGATTCCATGCAAGACAGTAAAATGGAACAGTAGAATGGGACAATAAGATATGGGATCTTCCAGAGGAAGAGCAGGGTGCTGAGACCTGGCAGTCTGACAGTTGGGTTGGATGAAGCAAAGAACCTTGGAAATACATCTCCAATGCTCCTGAATTCTGGAGGCCAGTGGAGACAGAATTCTACCCCATCTTACTGAAGAACAGCTTCCCTTTACCTAAGGACTGGACAGTAACTTTCATGTGGTGGAAAGATAGGTATTAATAGCTTCAAGATTTGCCTCTAGGCTAAAGGTTCTCACTATTGGTGGGCTGATAACTCAAGCATAACCTCTGTAATAAATGGATTCCAGGATGAGAGTTTATGAAATTGCAGATACTAGGTAATATTTTCTGCTGAGAACCAGGAAAGACAATAGGAGAGGGGATTGTACTGGAAAGAGTAAACTGTAAATCTGGACAGGGTATGAATCATTGACATGGCCTCTCATAGGACTGAATATCTTGCAGGGTGTTGCTTTAAAGCTTGGTCACCATGTGGGTTTACAGTAAGTGAGATAGAAATTCATATTCAGATCAGGAAGGTAGAGGTGCTATGTGAATATATTATGGGGGACTTGAGAATTTTTGACCTGGCTGTTCTCACAGAGAAAGCCCAGGATTCCTTCCTTTCACAAAGATGAAATGGAGACAACAGTGACATCTTTGAGAAGCTTAGGGTAGTTGTGCTTGATAATACCCAAATGGTGGTATGTGATGCTATCATTGGATTATGCTCCTAAAGGGCATACTTCGAATGAAATTTCCCAATGTCAAAAGTAACAAAGCAGGAATTAATGGTTATACTCCATAATGATGTAATTACTGTGATACATATCAAGTATAGTGAGGCAGTCAACTCCCTTGACTCATACTCATCTGGCATGGTTGTTAATACAGCCTAGTGTTACCAAGGGCAGTGCATTAGATGGACAGTCAAGTCAAATAATGCTCAGTTTGTATAACAACAACAACAAAAATCACTGATTGGTGAGCAGAAGTATGGTGCCTGCTGTCACCATGGAAATATGAGGACCCTAATTGTGTTCTCAGAGCCAAGTGACTTGTGGGTCTAGAGTTCTCTGGACTACGATCAAATTGAAGATCCAGTCTCTGGAGGAAGGACTTTTGCTGTGCCTCTGATAGCACACATGATATGCTTTCTTCAGAACATATCTCCAGAAAGACCTGGTTTCCATGGCAGAGTAACAGTGATTGGGAGAGGAGAATATCTAGATGCTTTTAGGAAAGTTAGACAAGGAGCCTGAGGTGATAGTGATACCAAGAGATCTAGAATGATCCAGTGATGACTTTTGGAGAGTGAGTGGTAAATGGAGTTTTAGATCAAATCCGTGTCACAGTACAGCCAATTGCTTCATATTATCCTATGGTCATTTTCTCATCCCCTAAGTACGCAGTTGGGGTTGATATAAAGAGCATCTGGAAGAACCCCCACTTCAGTTGCATGGCTTGTGAAGACAGGATTGTCACTGCCGGAAAGCATATGTAGATGACCCCTCCCTAAAACTGGAGCTTCCTCATTGGCAGATTCAATTTATGAATAACAAAATTGTATTTCAGAGAGAGCTAATTCGCATGGCTAAGCTTTCACAGTTGGTAACTGACAGAATCAAGAATCAAATAAAATTCAGCCTTGTCATGGGGCCCAGTTGGTCTGGCTTTGCCATTCTACTTATGTTTTTTATGTTCTACAGCTTGGACAAATAGACACAGTCTCCAACTTTCTGTGAGTGCTTAGTTCTCCTTAACTGATCCTACACCTATTTTCAATATGATAATCTATTCAAAAATTATATTTGCAGGCTTTGTAGTAAACCCAAAGCCAATTCCTTCCATTATGCTGAGGATGTCTGAAAGAAAATGGCCCCCAAAAGGCGTGGCATTACTAGGTATGGCTTTGTTGGGGTAGGTGTGACCTTGTTGGAAGAAGTATGTCACTGTGGGGGTGGGCTTTGAGGTCTCAAAGTACTCCCAGTGTCACAGTCCACTTCCTGTTGCCTTCTGATCAGCACCATGTCTGTCTGCAAGCTGCTATGTTCTCTACCAGCATGATCATGGGCTGAACCTCTGAAGCTGTAATCAAGCCACCTCAAAGAAATGTTTTCTTTATAAGAGTGAAAATAAGCAAAATACTGGTGGGTCTAGTTTCATAGCAATAGTGAAGCTCTTCTATGATAAAGAGCATTCAGGAGGAAAGTTACAAAGCTAACTGGAAATTCTGAAAAGAATATGATAAAGTCCTAATATTCTCACTATATAGGACTTTTTACAAATCCACCCATTTATCTTTGTCAACAATAATGAACTAATTTTTGTTGGCTAGACTGAATGATGGGGATAAGAAAATAATCAGCAGTAATCAAAATAGCTCTTCTTATAAAATTTATACATTTATTGTATGTGTGTACATGCATGCATGTGGAGGTCAGAGGAAAACTTGTGGGAGCTGGTTCTTTTTTCTACCATGTACATCTTTGGGGTCAAACTTGTCACAGGCACTTTGAACCCCTGAGCTAAAACAGCCATTTTTATGGCACATGGAGTCTTACCAGGGGAGGGAAACAATAAATAAGTGGTTAAAAACATTGTGTTGCAGGTAGTAATAAGTACTATTGAGAAAGTGGAGAACAGTGTGATAAGGGCTCCCAAGAGGGAAGAACATAGGGGTTTTTTTTATAATTAATTAATTTACTTTTACCAGTAGAAGATTATCTAGGAAGGTGGTATATGAGTAAAGACCCAAAGGAGTGAGAAGAAACCCCAGGGATGTCTGTGTGAAGCAGTAGGAACGTTAGTGAGGTGGTGTTTCCCTGTTATATCTCCAGAGGAACGTAGCAGGCAAGCCAGTGTGTCCAGTGTGAAGAGAACATGAAAGCAAGTAGGAAGAAATGAGGCTAGGAGGGTGGCAGAGTAGACTCTGGAACACTCAGGCTCTTACCACCCCTTGTAAGAACTTTTAAAGGCACCAGACGCTTCTACAGAACTGAATTGTGATCTGGCTTGTGCAATCAAGATCATTTTTCCTATTGCTGAAGAAGAGAAAATAAGTAAAGGGGCTGTTGCAATCCTGAAGCAGAAATAGTGCTTGTTTTATTTTTGTTTGTTTTGTTTTCCACGATAAATGAGAGTGGGCGAGGGGGGCCAGCAGCTTGCATTTGGACATATTAAGTTTGAAATGCAGAGCAGACATCCAAGTAGACATGTCAACAGCTTGCTGGGGATCCAAGTCTGTAGTTCTGGGCAAAGGCCTGGGCTGGAGTTCTGTCTGAGTTGTTAGCATACAGTGTGTACAGCCAAGCGACAAGTCAGATGAAGTCAGAAACTAGAGGAAAACAGAAAAGGGGAGTCATGGATGAGAGAATTATGGAGCCGCACCAGCATTAAAGATGTGGACCTTGAGGAAGGATCTTCAGCAAAGGATGCTGGGAAGGAGTTAGTGAGGCAGGCAGAAACGCAGGTGTGATTTCCAGAAGGGAGATGAAGAGAGAATCAATTATGCCAAGTGCTGTTGATAGAAAGTTGAGTGAGGACTGGTTACTGATTATGTCTGATGCGCTAATTTAGCCTCTCCGTTCTTCAGTCTCAGCTTACTCCTTCAAATCTCATCCAAGCGCATTTTTTTTTTTGGTACCTCTCTGCATCAGCCAGCATTTCCACATCCTTTTGTCTCTTCTTGCAGAAATCCTTCAAGCCTTCACCACCTGTTCTCCAGATCACAGCAGTAAATGGCTGCAGTGCCAGAAGTCTTATGCAGAAGCCTTTTTATAAAGGGAAGGTGATCAGACAAAGGAAGCCTGTGAAGTTTGATATTGATATATATGTATTCTAAGGAGTTTAAAATATAACCATTCTAATGCACTAGCTACCATAGAAATACTGATTAAAATAAGCTGGCTACCCCACTCCCCTAAACCAAATTGGCATTTTAAAAGGCATACTCTGCTATGGACAAGACATAGCAGGCATGCCTTGCCTTGCTGGTGGAAGTGTTAATTGCTAAAACTTTTCCAAGGGCAGCTTGGTAACACAGAAGAATAATTTTTGTAGGTTTTTGTTTTCTTGACACTTTTGGGTCCAATAATTTTTCCTTTAACAGTTTATTGTAAGGAAAGCACCATCTAGACTTCTATAAAACGATGCTCACATCAGTGCTGTTTCTTATACAACTTAGGATATGGAATTAAGTAAAACTTTCTATTTCTGTAGAACACTGAAACTCCTGAGTATTGTTTCTGACAAGACTTACAGGCATAAAACAGCAAAGAAAATCAAAATCATTTAATATTCCACTTTAGAGCGTAAGTCAGCAAATTCTGACACAGATTCAGAACAAAACTCCTGCAGAAAAAGAATTTTAACAATAAGGGAACCTGCCTACAAAATGTAGTCAAAGAAAAAAAAAAAGAAATGAAACTAACTATAAAATGATGCTATGATTCTACTGTTTAAAAGAAAGAGAATAGAAAAAATATTTAAAAATCTATCAATAAAAGTCTCACTAGTAATCATTTCAAGATTCTCAATAATAATTATTCTTTAACCTGCTTGACCTTGTTGGACTTTTTACTCATTCTAGAATTTTGCTGAGGGCCCGCCATGCAGATATTTGGGATTCATTAATGAGAACAAATAATTCCCACCCTTGAGTGTTTACAACCTATTGAAGAGACACAGCTGATAGACTGTAATGAAGAAGAAATTATATAACCTCTTATAAGAGGTGATGAGTGCTGGAGGAAAACAGTAAGTGCAAACAAGGGGCTGCAAGTGTATGGCTGTGTGATGGTTAACCTTCATCATCAGCTTGGCTTGATTAGGAGTCACCATGAGAGAACACCTCTTGGCATGACAGTGTGGGCATTTCCAGAAATGTTTAACTGAAAAAGGAAGACTCACCCTAAATGTGGGCAGCACTGTCCCTGAGCTAGAGTTCCAGACTGATTGAGGAGAAAGCCAGCTGAGCACCAGTGTTCATCTCTCTAGGCTTCCTGACTGTGGTTGCCATGTGACCAGCTACCACATGCTCCTACAGCTCCATCATCCCTGCCATCCCTGTAGCATTAAACTGTGAGCCAAAATAAACCCTTCTTTCCTGAAGTGGCTTTTGTCACCTCTCTTGTCAAAGCAATGAGAAAAATAAGGAGCATGGACCGCAGCTTTCAATCCAGCAGTCATGGCGGATCTCACCGAAGAGGAGGCATTTAAGGAAAACATTACAGACATGAGGGATTACCACCTGAATGTTGAGGAAGAAACCTTCCAGGTAAGAGACTCTGCCAATATATGGGAGCAGCATACTGATGTGTCTGAAGAGTGGAATGAGCATGGAAGCAGGAAATGAGATCAGAATGAAACCAGGAGCCCAGTGAGGGGCTTTGGTTATGTTAAGACACATGGGTTTAGGAGTGTCACAGTCATCTAGATGAGAGCTGCTGCTGCTGCTGAGGTCAAGGAGAGCAGTAATCAGGTGAGAACAGGTCAGACTCTAGGTTTGTCTTGGAAGTAGAATGAGCAGAACTTCCCGATGTTCCGATGAAGGGCATAGAAGGCTTTCCAATCTTTTGACCTGGATGGTTGAAAGGGTAAACTTATCAACTGCCATAGAAAGACTATGAGCAGAGCTGGGTTTTGTGTAGGATTGGAGTGATGTGCCGCTGAATTCAGGATGTGATAAGTCTCTATAAAGGACAGTGTCCAGGAGGAAGTATGCAACTAGAGGACACGTCTGGGTTGGAGGCTCATCATCATATAGGGAGTTTTGGAAGCTACCGTAGGGAAGAACTCACTGAATGAGTACCTGTAGATAGGGAAGAACTCCAAAGTGTCTTAGGTCACTTCAACAGCAGGAGCTTGGAGACAAGTCACAACCAGGGGAGGGGTGATTGAGAAAGCAACTATGGAGGCAGAAGAAAAGGCAAAGGGCGTGGGGCAAACAATTGCTTCAAATGCTGCCATTTGGTTGAGCTAAGTGAAAAGTGATGACTGAATTTACCAGTGTGGATGTCAGGGCACTGGAAACCATGATTTTAGAGAAAAAGATAGAAGAAACTGAAAGTGGATTTGAAAATAGAGAATATAGACTGCTCTTTTGAGGAATTTTGCTTCAAAGAGGCTTAAGAGGTGGGTAGGGGTGGCTAGGGAAGGGAGGCATTGACAAGGTTGGATCTTTGTTTTTATCTTTTATTATGAAGTATTTTTTTATCTATTTATCTCTATCTACCTCTCTATCTCTATCTATCCATCCATCTCTCTATCTCTCTATCTCTCTATATCTATATCTATCTATCTATCTATCTCTATCTATCTATCTATCTCTATCTATCTATCTATCTATCTATCTATCTATCTATCTATATATATATATATATATAATCTGTCAGATTGGGAGGACTCAACTTTCATGAATCAATTCTCTCCTCCTACCATGTGTCCCAGGCATTGAACTTAGATCATGAGGCTGTGGTAAGTGCTTTAACTCACTAGGGTCTATCCAATCCACTGTGATCATTAATTTTATCAAGATAATAAGATGCCAAAGATAGTATAGCTAGAAGTCACATAAGAACTATCTGGATGGTCTGGATGGCAAGTATACAGTGTATTGATCTGGTCTATTCTGCTGCCTAAAACTCTTTAGCCTCTATCCTGACTCAGATCACATGTAAAATACAAACATTTAAGGCCAGTGTAAGTTCACAGAGTAATGATCATACTTAAGGCAAGCATCCTCCCCAGTCTTTTCTATCCACCTAACACACACACACACACACACACACACACACACTTCAGGAAGCTATTTATCTTCTTTGGAAAGATTGAGCTTTGGAATCTTAGAAATAAAGATTGAGCAAAACCATGAATCCGTTTTTAGGAAAGCCAATTTTGCAAGGAAAAAAAGGAAAGAAAAGTAATCTTAGTCTTTTGACCCAAATACTCCAAGAACTTTTTAATCCAGGAAAGCAAATCTCCACCTGTTCGATGTCTTTTTACTAAGATTGAAAAGAGGGGGGATGCAGCCGCCAACTTCGGACGTCTCTGTGTTGGAAGATGGCGTTTGCCTCAGCGACACTGCAGCATCAAATTTCGGTACCCCTCCCTATAGCACCTGCCTCTGCTTCCTCCCACGTGTGTGCCTTTCCCCAGAGAATGACGCCTCTCTCCTCCCTCACAAGGGTGCAATACTGTCATTCTGCTTCCTGTAAAAACAGAAACCTAGTAAGTTGTGGTGGTTTAGAACTAGCAGGGGTTTTGTATCAGTTTCTATTAGGCAAACCAAGAAACTGAGTCTCCCAGGGGTGAAATGAATGGCCCAAAGCCAACAGCCAGTTAAATTGATTTGGGATTTGGGAAAACTCCCAGGAAGATTTGATCAGCTCATTTACACTGACATGTATTGATTGATGTGTTCTCTGCACAAGGCATATCTGATAGAAGCTATAAATAGAGTAAAAATAGTAGATGATGAAAGCGATGAGGTCTGAGAAATACACCATTATTTTAGCAGCTGTGGTTTTCATGTTCGATGTTCTATTGGCAGCTACTGATTTGTCTGTCCAGTTAATGATTAGTGCTTCCCAACCAGGAGTCGATACTAAAATTTAAGGTCTGACTTCTAGAGGGGACCTTTGGCAGTGTCTTGGAGGCATTTTGGTTGCCATGCCCGGGAGATGCAGTGTTGCTACCAATCTACTAGGGAGATTGCTAAAAATCCCTCAGTGTGTGGAACAGCCCTTTCCCTATTTCATCCAACCCCAAGTATCAGTAAATCAACTCTGGTTGACTCTGAAGGCAAAAGAAAGGAAGAGAAAAGAGAACCTTAGCAGAAAGTGGCTCTAGAGTAATGTTCTGTGTAGAGCTGCCATCAGAAAGGGGGCCAAGTGAATGTTGCTGAATGTTGGCAACATCATTCCTAGTGAGCAAGGGACAGTGGACCCAGAAACTGACTTGTGTCTCCTTTTGGTTGAAAAGTACATGTATCTGCTTCCTGAGACCAATCCCATTCTTTAATTATATTTCAGTTGTTACATAAATGGATAAAATAGAATTTTTCCTCCAACCAAGGCTAGAAGTGAGGCAGAATATTCAATATGAAAAATGCCTGTGAAGCAAATCCCACAGCTCCATGATGACAAAAGCCTGCAGTCTTAGGTAAGTCATTGGACCTGGTGCAGATGCCTTTCAGTTGTTTTTCCTTCAGTACATCCTCTGCTTGGAATTCTGGGCACTGTCTTTTAGTGCTTATTTAATTCTTTTATCTAGTGTGAAAACAACTTAGCCTTGAAAATAATCAAGTTCCTGTCATCCCATTATACTGCTGTTTTTACCCTCACATCATGACCCTTTCTTCTATTCTTGGTGCGGCGGGAACCTGTGCTTCTATGGATGCTCACTGTCCTCCAATGGAATGTTCTTCCCTATGCTCTGCTCCTAGCATCTCCAGTCACTACGGGAAAGGGAGATTCTAGACTATATGAGAGAAGGATGGTCTTTCCGAGAAGGTAGACATGTTGCTTGGCATTGTTTATCTTATTATTTTAGAGATAATCTTATTGTGTCATTTATTAAATTGTACTTATAAAAGAGATGTGTTTTAATTAAGTCTATTTCAGAGTTGAGAATAACCTAAGCGAGCAGAGATGATACAAAAATAACAATAATTGCTAATTTTTCTCGATAGTGTCAACTGTCGTGCACTCTCTATGAACTTCCATCCTTTTGCTCATTTAGTCTTTATCAATATAAAGTAGGTTCTACTACTGTATCCATCTTACACATGAGGAAGCAAAATAGAAGAGAAATAATTCAAGTAAGGCAGCCAAGGTCACAGAGCTAAGAAACAGAAAATTAAAATGCAGGGAGTCGAAGCTCACCTGATGGTCAGTGTTCCATGCTTTGTGTTGGCCTTTGGGCCTTTCAAAGCATAAGTGATCATCTTATTGAAGGCATTTTCAGAGGTAGGTAATGACAAAGTGTGATTCTAATATTATTCACAGGTCTTTACTTAAACTGCCTGAGTTGGTGTCAAAATAATGACACTTGTTGAATGGATTTTTCAGTTCTGAGTTAGAAGGATTCTAGCTGGGCATTGTAGCACAGTGCTATAAACCCAACACTTGGGAAGTTGAGGAGGAGAAGGAGTTCAAAGCCATCCTTGGTTACGTGAGAGTTTGAGGCTGTGCTGTGCTATGTAAGATCCTATCTCAAAAACAAAACAAAACAAAAAAAGAGTAGAGGAGGAAGACTAGGTGAGGCCAGAAGCCATTAAACATATCAAGCAACCTGGAAAGTCATATGTGTCAGTGTATTATTTATGAGACATTTCAGAGGATATTGTGAACTCCCACTTTCTTGAGCACCCTTTGTCTAGAAGCTACTAAGAACATCCTCTGTTGACTCAATGGTGTAAAACAAGACAGAGGTAGACAAATAAAATCAGCTGCAAGGTCAACCTGTGGTAACCCTGCCTTGGGAACAAGAGGGAGGCACCTGCAGAGCAAATACTGATAGCCAGGTCTTCTAGTGTATTTTATGTTGCTGTGATAAGTACCATGACCTAAAGCAACTTGAGGAGGAAAGAGTTTATTTGGCTTACAGGTTAACATCTATCAATGAGGGAAGCCAAGGCAGGAACTCAAGGCAGGAACCTAAAGGCAGGAACTGAAGCATTGACTATGGAGCACTGCTTCCCAGCTTGTTCCCAACGCTCCCTTTCAGCCACCTTTCTTATATAGCCCAGGCCCACCTGTCCAGGGATGGTATGCATAGCCTACAATGGGATGAGTCCTCCTGCATCAATCAGCAATTAAGACAATCGCTTACAGACATGACCACAGGCCAGTCCAATGGAATCAATGGAAGTTGCTTCTTCCCAGGTGTGTCAAGTTGATAACCAAGACTAGCCATCACAACATCTGTCAGATCTGATGGAGCATGGAGCCATTTATCAAAGGATATCAAAACCAAGCTAATGAAAAAAGCAAGGTCAATAACTCCCAAGATTTCAAACTAAACAAGATCATAGATTATCTGCTAAACCAAGCACCCCAGCACTGAATAAGATGTACTTAACATTATATATTACATCATAATAATGTCAATATCTATCACTGATTTAAACAAATAATGATCTAGGTCAATAGTCCCTCATCCTAAATATTAGAATTAGAAAAGCTATGGAAATCAACATATCTTTGTAATTCTATAGTAACACTATTGATGGCAAACCCTGATCAGAGCTTACATGTCTATTTATAGTCTTTATTTATCCCACTTGATATAAATATTCATGTTTTGTTGCAGAAATGTAAAGTGTTTCATTATAGGGTGTTGCCACAGATCCCACTGGGAGTTTTAAGTAATACATGGTCTATGATCACATTACCTTCCTGAAGTCCTTTAGATACAAATTTTAAGAAGCATCTGTCCCTCAGTGTCTGGACAAAGGATTGGGAACCAGTGTAAGCCTATTGAGAGGTGGGACACAGGGAGGGCACACCACCAAGAGAAGGAACTTCTAGGTGTGATAGCTAGACTGTCAAACACAGAATGTCAATATAATCATTTATGCAGGAATATGTATGCAGAATACAGATGAAGCAGTAAATGGAGTTCAAAGAGGTTGCCCTTAGGGAATGTTGGAAGGGAGGAGGAGGTATGGCCGAGGCTACTATTTTCATTTATTCACTTTTATTATTATTTGATGTTTAAACTATATATTCTTTTGATGGGAAATAAAAATAATTTTAAAAAATCAATCATCCTTCCCTTGAGAACATACAGGATAGAAGGCGAGTAAAAGAGTCAGTATGCATTTCTATTTGTCTCATTAAATACATAGCCTAGAAGGAAATTACACATCCATTTCAATCATCCAGGGGAAAACAGGGTTCCTAGATAGAAGATCTAAATATTCCGCTTAAGATGAGCTCAATGGGAGCATGGTAATCATTGGTGTTTAAAAATATCATCATAGAGAAGTAGCTAATAACCTAAACAAAATCCAGGAAAATAAAAGCAGAAATGTTTTTCCAGAGGGCTCGTGGAAGAAAGCCACCCTGCTTTGTTCCTTCCCTTTCGTCTCCGTGGTTCAGCTTCAGAACATGTGAACAAGGCTCCCAATGTCATCCTGCGCTGCTTCGTGGTAGTCCTTGACATCAGGAATGTTCTGTTTGAGTGTATTTATCTTTACCCATGATGCTCAGTGTCTCTGTCTGAAACCCCAAACTCTGAAATGTACAAAATTACAGAGAAGCTTCACACCTCACTCATGTCCCCTGGAGGCATGGACAATGTAGCTGGCGGAGTGGCATTGACAGTCGCCACACTGCCTTTATTGGCTACCAGGGGAAGGAGCAACAGTATTGCTAGTTTAAAACAAATAAATTAGGCCAAGAAGCTGACATTCTTGTGCAACTTTTAAAATCTTCTGGTTACCTACTGTAACTTTGCTAAATGGCCATGCAGTCAAACTGCCTTCTAAATATGTTTATATACATAGGTTTGTGGTACTCCCGACTTTGATCACTAAAGTTTCTTTTTGCAGGAGGTAATTAGTGGCTATTTCACAGACTCATAGCTGGTCAGAGCACCAACAATAAGTAACTCTGAGTGATGAGCTGTGGACAGGTCATCTTGATCAATATTCCCCATCCCAGGAACACTGTAGAAGTGGAGCAGAAAGCATGGGGAGGAGAGGGCTGTGGCATGGCGATTTCTGGACACGACAGAAGCTGTTGCACACATAAACACATAGCAGCTATGCAAGACTTACACAAACTCAAGCCAGTCAAAGTCACAGCATGGTTGGCTGGGTCCCCTGGAGTCCCATCCTTGGCAAAGGAGCTATTGACAGTTGACTACTGAGAGGAAGAATCACTGTGTTTTGGGGGCACGGCCACTGATAGGTTACTCATGTCCTAGTTGATGGTTGCACACTCATGCACATATGGGCAGCATTAATTATACTCAAGGAGTCATCAATAACACCAATAAAAGGAGGGCATTAGGCGGGATATAGTTTCATTAGAAGAACACAGTCACACACCTTTAATTATAGCACTGGGGAGGCAGAAGCATGTGGATCTCTGTGAGTTCAAGGCCACCTAGATCTACATGGTGAATTCCAGACAAGCTAGGGCTACTCAGTGAGACCTATAAATAATAAAATAAAATAAATAAAAAAGAAAGAAAGGCAAGCTTATAGCAGATAAAGTAGGGAAAGCGATGGATCATTAGGGAAGGGGCATGGACATGGTCCAAATACATTCTATAAATGTATGATTTAAAAAACCTTTATTTCTGTGTGTATAGGTGTCTTGCCTGCATTCATGCCTGTGTACCATGTGCATGCCTGTGCACCACGTACATTCCTGGTGTGTGCATAGGTCAGAAGAGGGCATCAGATGTCCTGGAACTGGAGTTACAGACAGCTGTGGTGTTGGGATTTTAGTCTGTATCCTTTGGAAGTACAGCCAGTGCTATTAACTGCAGAGCCATCTCTCCAGCCCCACAAATCATTTTTTAAAAAGGACTGTTGGATCATGTCAATATGGTGATAAAGTTGGTAAAGAGAATGTGTGTGCAGGAGTCATGAGTGTGGACTTCAGCATCAGACCTGGGTTCAGATTCCTGTTGTTACATAGGCTCTTTTCAACGTGCTTTGTTTCACTGAGTCACAGTTTTCTTTTTACAACAATATCAGGATCCTAACAGTGTGCCCTGGCAACCCAGGTCTCAGTCTCACACTGTCAGTATTTGGCACTGCATAATCATTTGATATAGGGTCATTTTGTAATTGAAGGCTGTTTAGAGTATCCCTGCCTATGACCCACTAGATGCTACTATTCAACTCCTGATGCCATTGTGACAACTCAAAACATTTCTGGACATTAAGATGTTCCTTGAGGAAGGGCACCATATTATGGAGAAACTCAATGATAGTCTTAAATAATGGTACTTAAAGAAATAAAAATTGCCATTATTTATACTTTGCAAGGATTTTGTTATTAAAACTGCTTAATACAAATAAGTCACTTGGCAAGTACAAGAAGGGTATTAGATTTACATTCATCCCTCAGTGGATCCAAGACCCCCAGTGGGGTCAGTGCCTGAGACCAAGGATAACATTGACTGCATGTGTGCTTTCTATTCATCCATACACACAGGAAAAGATTTCATTATAAATAAGGCACAGAACCTAGTCACAGCAAACTGGCGAGATGGCTCTGTAGGCATTGCCAAGTCTGATGACCTGAGTTTGATTGCCAAAACCCATATACAGGAACCTACTCCTACAAGCTGTCCTTTCCCCTCCATATGTACACCGTGGCATGCATCTGTGCCCACATATACATACAGCACACAAATAATTATGACCCAAGCTAAGATCACTAGCTACTAATTAAATAAAAATAAGAGGCCTGTTATAAAATACGTCTGTGGTATTCACCCTTCTCTTTCTTGTGGTGGTGTAAAATAAAGCAATACCCATGTGATGAGCTGTAGGCATTGTGTTGCACTGTCAGGATACTATGGCGGGATCACTGGACCCTAAGCACCATAGCATTCACACAGTTGGCCTGACAACTGAGATGACTGCTTAGTGACAGCAGATGGACAGGATCTGCATTGTGGGGTAGCCTAAGCAAAGGGATGATACCCATCCTGGGCAGGGTGGAGCCAGATAGCCCTAGATTTCACCATGCTTTGCAGAATGAACCATAATCTAAAACTTATGGATTATTATTTTCTGAAATTTCCCATTTAATATTTTTGGACCTCTGGTGACAATGAGTAACCAAAACCTTGGAATGCAAAGCCATGAACAAGGGGCAATGGCTCTAACACTGCCTTGATTGTGTGCAGTGATTATAAAGAAGGAGAGTTCTGTAAGGGAAAATTATCAAAATGAGCAAGCAGACCCTAAGGGGTTTCACACCTTCTAGAAGGTTGGCACTGGGAAAGACTTCCAAGACTGTATGTAATGATACATTGTTGTGTGAACAAGGGAATGGGGTCTAAAGGCCAAGTTCATTAAGAAAGAAAGTGACAGAATCAGGGCAGAGGCATGGCTTTGACCTGGGCAGCCCTTATACCACGCTGTCTGCAGTAGACCTGGTCCTTATGGCTGGAGACAGGCTATTTCATTTTAGAACCCTGAGATGAAAAACAACAATAACAAAAAAATAAATAAATAACAGAAAACAAGCTGTTGAATGTAATGGAAAAGAGTTCTGTCCCTCTTTCTGGACAGAAGCAAACATGGAGGACAGAGACTGGCTAATGGTCACTGAGAAGTTAGCCTCTTTTCTAAGCTGTGCATTGACCAACGCACCATTTTATTTTAGATTTTTTTTTTAAGGCAACTTTCCAGCATCCTGTAGCTAGAGTTTTCCTGCCTGGCCCACAGTCAGGGCAAATCTCTCTCACCCGCCAGTCCCACAGCCGCTCAAACCCGACCAAGTAAACACAGAGACTTATATTGGTTACAAACTGTATGGCTGTGGCAGGCTTCTTGCTAACTGTTCTTACAGCTTAAATTAATCCATTTCTATTAATCTATACCTTGCCACATGGCTCGTGGCTTACCAGCATCTTCACATGCGCCTTGTCGTGGTGGCGGCTGGCAGTGTCTCTCTCACCCAGCTTCCTGTTCTCTCAATTCTCCTCTCTGTTAGTCCCGCCTATACTTCCTGCCTGGCCACTGGCCAATCAGTGATTTATTTATTGACCAATCAGCAACACATTTGACATACAGACCATCCCACAGCACTTCCCCTTTTCTTTTCTTAAAAAGGAATGTTTTAACCTTTACACATCTCCCAAGTCAGCTTGGTATATTTGAAAATTTGGGTGTAGCTTCTCTTACTACTTCCTGCTGGAGGGGGACGCTGTATCTTATGGGGACACAAAGAAAATTTTAGGATTATGAAACAGTCCATGAGGCTGTATTGTCTGAGCCAGTTGCCTTCAAACCATTCTGGATGTTGGATCATCTGGGCCATGGTATCATCGGAGACCTTTCAGTAGGTCTTGGCTAGTCAAACCTGATGTATCTTAATCTGGAACAAATCCATAGCCTCTGGCTTTCTGTGGAAACAAAAGCAGAGCCTCCTTTCCAAAGCAACATATCTTTACATCCAAATTTTGAAGTCAAGGTACCTTTAAAATATACATTTTGGCATAACTCAACAGCTTTTGTAATCAAATGTTTTTATTCAGTTACGAATATCAAAGAGAACATAATCCAGATTCTCTGTGTGGTAGCCATCTTTACGTGGCTTATTTTTTATATTAGTTTGAGCCTATTGCTTTAAACTGCAGCCTTCTAAGCCTGAAACGGCGTTGGTGCTATGGCTGCTGGCTCTGCCCACTTCAGCTTCCCAACATGGCGGTGATATGTTTTCTGCCAGCTCTGGGAGCCATCAACTCTCAGAAATAGTGGGTCTGTGCTTCTATCCAAGCAGCGTGTAGCCCAGAAACCACTTTTTTTTTTTGTACTAGCAAAGGCTAAATCCACCACACAGCTTAATGTGCCACTTGCAGAGGCCTCATTCCTGCCATACTGCAGGTTGAGTATGCACGCCAGGAACCCGCCATAGTAGCTCAAACACACAGGCTGCCGCTAGCTTAAAAGAGACAACTAGGAGCTGTTTTTAGCTCTGTTTTAGAATCTTTTTACTCAGGTTTTAGGTGGAAACTCTTGCCAACACGTTGGGCGCCATTTGTAGCTAGAGTTTTCCTGCCTGGCCCACAGTCAGGACAAATCTCTCTCACCTGCCAGTCCCACAGCCGCTCAGACCCAACCAAGTAAACACAGAGACTTACATTGCTTACAAACTGTATGGCCGTGGCAGGCTTCTTGCTAACTGTTCTTACAGCTTAAATTAATCCATTTCTATTAATCTATACCTTGCCACGTGGCTCGTGGCTTACCAGCATCTTCACATGCGGCTTGTCGTGGTGGCGGCTGGCAGTGTCTCTCTCACCCAGCTTCCTGTTCTCTCAATTCTCCTCTCTGTTAGTCCCGCCTATACTTCCTGCCTGGCCACTGGCCAATCAGTGATTTATTTATTGACCAATCAGCAACACATTTGACATACAGACCATCCCACAGCAGCATCCTTTCATGGAAAAGCATGTTTCCCATTTGTAGTGGTGTAAATGAGAATATAGGCTCATAGATTTGAATACTTGGTCACCAGGCCAGGGAGTGACACTATTTTAAAGAATTAGGAGGAAGTATGTCACTGGAGGTGGGCTTCAAGGTTTAAAATAGCCCATTCCAAGCCCAGAGTCTCTCTCCTTCTGCTGTCTGCAGATCTGGATGTAGAAATCTCAGCTACTTCTCCAGTGTCATGGCTGCCTGCGGGCTGCCGTGCTCCTCACCTTGATGATAACAGAACTGAACCTCTGAAGCTGTACTCAAGCCCCAATTAAATGCTTTCTTTTGTATGAGTTGCCATGGTCATGGTGTCTCTTCACAGCAATAGAACAGTGACTAAGACACTATTCACAATCTATGGCCTCAGGAAGGGATGTTTCTTCAATTTTCCCCCATGAAACAGTGATGTTGTCTGAAAAGAGGTTATTTTTTATTTTTATTTTTTTTTGCTAACGTCTGAAAAAGATAGCCTAGGGCATAGATGCTGTTGTTATTCAGGACCTCAGGAAGACTAAATTGTATAAATGCTGAGTTGAGAAGATTATAGCAAAAAAAAAAATAAGCAACACATTTCTAGAAAACTTCTGAAGAAAATCACCTTAGTTTTCTTGCTGTATAAGTAGTACAATTTTATGACAATTAGAAGACGCAGATAGCAAATTAAAACACCATCTAGAATCCTACTAAACATGTTATATGTACTCTTCAAATATTTATGTGTTTGCATATATCTGTGTGGTATATGTGTGTATATAAGCCCATATTCATTTAAGGGTTTGGCTTCTGTATTAATGGCTTCAGCTTATTATACTTAATTAATTGTAACAAATGACAAGCAACTCCATATAGCAATCTTTCACAAATTAATGATCCTTATCCTCACTAAATTATCTCTTGGTCTACTGATTTAGGAAACAAGTAATACTTTGATCACAAACATTCTTTAGGAAGTCCATTTTTATAACCATGCACTCGTTTTCTTTGATCCTCTTTTTTTTTTCAGAATCCAAGTGAATAGATATGCCTCCTCTCTTTTGTGAGATCCCACAGAAATACATGAAATTATATTAATGAGAAAGAAGCTATAACATGCATGTACATTGAAAAGAGCCAGCAAGAGAAAACATTGTCTTGAATGGGAGAAGAAAAAGAACAAAATAGATTGAATTGGTGGAAAAATGCAACAAGGTATTCAGAATATATTAATGGGGCTAATAAATATTCTCCAAATGAAGTGAAATTGCCAGAAGAAATAAAAATGTGGGATCAGCAGAAGCCAAAATCAGAAGCAACTCAAAAGACCTCCATCTTGGAATGGTGGAGCTCTGTCTTCTTCTTCTTCTTCTTCTTCTTCTTCTTCTTCTTCTTCTTCTTCTTCTTCTTCTTCTTCTTCTTCTCCTTTTTTTTTTTTTTTTGGTTTTTCGAGACAAGGTTTCTCTGTATAGCTTTGCGCTTTTCCTCTATCTCGCTCTGTAGACCAGGCTGGTCTTGAACTCACAGAGATCCACCTGGCTCTGCCTCCCGAGTGCTGGGATTAAAGGTGTGTGCTGCCACCTCCCCGCCTGTCTTCTCTTTTGCATATATAGACTGTATGAGTCTTTCATCACTGGGTTTTGTCCCCTGGCTGGAGTTTTTAGTGCTGTTTTTGGTGAGACTCCAGAAAGGAGACCCGAGAGTACATGTTGACATGTTGATGCTAGGGGGATGAACAGAGACAAACGGGAATAGCTTCACTTCCTGTTTCTGACCTTGTGAGTTGGGGCTGTTACTATGAGCTAGCACCACCCAGACTGGTACGTGGCCCCACCACCCAGACTGGTACGTGGCCGTATGTCCATGCACTTTGCAGGAAACTCACCTATCAGTGTATCTTCTCCATTTAGACAAAGACAGTGGCCAGCTCTTTTAAGAAAGAGGGCTGTTGGGGACACAGGCTCACACTCTACATTCCTCACATTTCAGTTAAGAAACAGCGACCAAGGATCACCAGATTTCAAATAAGCAAGTCACATGAGTATCTCTGCCCGCAGTTAGAGTGACATTCAACCAAACTAATGTCAGGATTTTCTTTTAGTTGAATTAGATGTGTTTGAATTGCTTTTGGAATGGTATTCCATACAGTAAAACTGAATAAATCATGATTTACTGTGGTAATGCAAAAAGAAAACAGAGAAATAAATCACACCAAAGAGAAATTTAAAGATTAATAAGCAGAATAAATGACTCCAAGGGAAACAATATAGCTATAAAAATAGCTAACAGAATAACATAGATTTTTGTAGCTATGAAATAAGAATAGATTGGTATAAAATTAAGAATATCTTTACTGGAGAGATTGATAGATAGTTCAGTGGCAAATACTTGCCTAACAAGACTGAGGCCTTCAGTTTTATACCAAGGGCCACAAAAATAAAATAGTTTTAAATGAAAAAGAATATGATTGCTAAAAAAAAAATTTACTCTATGAGCAGTCCAAGCTGAAGTCCAGGAGAGTGATTGGTAAGGTACTTTTGAAACTAAGAGTCAGTTTGATTTGGACATAATAGTTAAATAAATAATAGAAAAAAATCATTCCCAGAGTACAACAAAGATCAATCCTAAAGGCTCACTGAGTATGGTGAAGAGTAGGCTAAGGGCTGCTCAGTCTGCTTTTAGAAACATCATAAGAAAACTGAACAGTTGTAGGAGGAGAGAGAAAAGTCCCCAATCTTTCAAAGTTAGAAAAAAACAAAACAAAACAAATTAACCTCAAATGAGCCAGAATTATACCAACACTCATGAGAAACACAGATGTGAGCAGAAAATGAGGGAAATTCTGAGGGGAGATGATTTCTAGACTTCAATTCTATACCCAGACAAAAATCCACAAGCCGTGAGGGACACAAAACATTCTCAGGCAAGAATGGTCTTGAGGTATTTTAATTATATGTGACAAGGAACAAGACACGAGGCAAGGTGTTAGCGCGGCAGCTTGGTGGAACTTGCCTAGTGTGTGCGTGTGGACAAAGACCTTGGTCTCCATCCCCAGCACCACCACCAAAAGGAAGGAAAATGTACTTTTGAGAGGAAAATGTAAAGAAATGGTAGTAGCCTGCATGCAAATTAGAAGAGAGGAAATGTGGAAACCAATAAACCATTGCCATATCTAAGGCTGGAAAAATGGCTCAGTGGGTAAAGGCACCTGCCTCCAGTGCTGGTAATCTGAGTTTCTTCTCCAAGATCAGTATGGTTGGAGAGAATCTAGCAAGTTCTAGCAAGTTGTTCTTTGACCTCCGTATGTGCACTGTGGCACACATATACACACACCGATACCAAATCATAAACAAATAAAATTGAAAATGTTATAAAGAGAACAAATAAGTTTATGTATCTCCATCTACTGACCTATCAACTATCACCTCTCTATCATCTCTATTATTCCTATCATTCTTCCTTTGTTGTGTTATGGTTGTGGTGATATATTGTGTATCGCAATATATTGTGTACCCTAATAAACTTATCTGGGGATCAGAGGACAGAGCCAGCCACTAGATTAAACATAGAGGCCAGACAGTGGTGGCACACACCCTTAATCCTATCACTTGAGAGGCAGAGATCCATCTGGATCTCTGTGAGTTCAAAGCTGCACTGGGAACAAAGTCTGGCAGTGGTGGCACACGCCTTTAATCCCAGCACTTGAGATCTCATGCCTTTGCTTCAGAAGCACACACACCTTTAATCCCAGGAAGTGACATGGCTGGGTGGAGAATGGTATATAAGGCGTGAGGAGACAGGAACTAAGCAGCAGTTCAACTGAGACCCTCAGGGGTGAGGACTCCGAGGCTTTCAGTCTGAGGATTCCTGTAAACAGGATCAGCTGAGGAATTGGCGAGGTGAGGTTGGCTGTGGCTTGTTCTGCTTCTTTGATCTTCCAGCTTTCACCCCAATATCTGGCCAGGTTTTTTTTATTATTATTATAAGAACTTTTAAGATTCATGTTACATATGGTTTTGCTTTGTTTTGTTTGTTTGTTTATTTGAGATATGGTACAACTATGTAGCCCTGGCTGGCCTTGAACTTGTCTCTGTTTCCAAGTGCTGGGATTAAAAGTATGTCCCCCCACACCCATCCATATCATTCTTGGAATGGCAGGAGCTCAGTGACATAGGACTGAATTTCTTTTCCTTTGGGTCCAGTGGAACTGACTGGTTCCATAGTAAGAGGCTATTTCTTGGTTATTATATTTAGTATGCTTTCATAGGGCAGAGTTTTGAGAAGCAGGTTACTGTCAAATCATCAAGGACTTGGCCAGTTGTCCTATAATTCGACAATCTAGGAATGATACACCCAAGCAACACTGGGACTCTCCAGAAGAGAAAAGCAGCTCTGTTGTGGGGGGAGTCACCAGCGTGTGCAGAGGTGAAACTCCCAATGCCAGCAATGCAGTGCTTGTGACATACATTCATGGTAAGCAGACAGAGCACTAAAGGCATAAGCTCAGATGGCTAACATTGGTGAACATGGTACGGTAGCTACTTTTCTCACAGCTGTGACAACACCTGACGGAAACATTTAGGGGAGGAGGAGCTGAGCTTGGCTCACAGTTTGGAGGGTCTAGGTCGTGAGGACAGGGAAACATGGTGGCCAGGGTAGCTCAACTTCCAGAGGGAGGAGCCTATAGAATGGGACCATAAGCAAGGCAAGGCTATGACCATCAAACATCCACTCAGTGGTCTCTATTGATGCGGTAGGCCCTTGTGCTAAAGTTTCCTCAGCTTCTCAGAACACCGCCTCTAGATGGGACCAGGTAGTCAAATGTGATTCTGGGGTGAAGGGAACATTTCAGATTCAAATCAGAACATAAGCAGGCATGAAGAGCGTGGGTGGGGATGATAACTTTTAAATTTGAGATCTTCTGCGTTTTGCTTTTTATTTCCCCATGAATAGGTGTTTAAATGGAAGGAGAGAGGGAAGAGTTAGACTCCTAACCAGTCTTTTTCTTCCATCCTTTCAAACCCCATTCTTTAATGGAGGATTCTGAGGATTTGCTTAAATATTTGTAAAAAGCAACTTTCACTTTCCTGTTAGAAATATCCAGTGGCTTTAGTGTAAACTGGATATTGAAGCTGAAGATCTTTGCCAAGTACCTTCACTTCATAATCCAGGAGACCGAGTTCTAGAGGAGAAGCCACAGGTAGTGCCGGCTTTGAAGAAAGTAGTCATATCAAGGTGTTTTACCAAGTTTAGCTCATAGTTGTTATGGAAACCATTATATCATGATTTGGATTCTTTCTGAGTTAGATCTGCAGAGAGAGAGAGTCCTGGAGGCCTGTGGTAATTTATTCATTCTCTTAATCGTAATATGTGCACTTTCACCAGCATTTTACCCCAGCCTCTGATAACCACCATTTTACTTCCTACTTCTATGAGAACATTCAATGACATATCTATGCAAATGACTTTGAAAATATTTATGAACATTGCTAATACACTCAACATTATTTTATTGCAAATGAGTATGCATTATGATAAAAATGTCTCTTACATTCTAAGAGACTGGAACTATGGTTGGGCATGTATGTTATGATAATCATTTGCTGAAAACAGAACCCAGGAAGAAGGCCCTATAAAATGAATAGGCACCTCAAATGTTGGTAGCAACATAAAGATATTGCTTGGTAAGCAAGGATGTTTGTGATATTGCTTATTACCTGGTTCACTTGGGGTCAGTGACTTTATGCCATGTAAAAGCCTGTTAAAGATTCCTGTTCTGTATCTCTCAGTCCTTCTCTGGCTAATACTTTCTGTGCTGTTCAATACAAGAGAGAGCAAAGACTTGTTACACACAGAGACAAACACAGGGTCAGATTCACAATATGGCAGTTCGGTAGGCACAGATTCAGACTAATACAACTATACAGACAGGATAATGGAGGACGCAGGAAGAGGGAAGTAGAGAATTCAAATCTGTTCTCACTCTTAGTCAAACAATACCAAGGGGAAGTTCTTTGTTATTTTTCTTAACGTGACAGAGATGTGTTATTGGTGAGCGAGTTTATCTTAATGCAGTGAAACCAATGGAGGGGTCAGTGCTGCTCCTCCTTTTGTTCCTCCCCAAGGACAAATCTGTCCCCTGTCTGTCACCAAAGTGAATTCTCAGCACTGCATAGAATGACTTCTTGACTTCTGGGATGCTTCTCCTGTTCAGAGAAAGGGCCATCAGAAATCTATTGCCAAGAAAGAGAAAATGGCCCCTGCAGCCAGCCCGAGATGTGCCTGCAAAACAAAAGCAAAAACAAAAACAAAAAACAACTGGCAAAAACAGCTAGCCAGCAGAGCACTGAGGCCAACAGGTGCCGAGACAGAAGCGTAGGCGTGGAGCCAGAGGCAGGGAAGGAGAGACCAAGGTAACTGCTTTCTT